CTTACTGAGCCGCCGCAAGGTACGCCGCGCGCGACGAGTGCGACACATTGCAGAGTCTCCTATCGGTCCCAGAATGTATGGGAGGAGAATGACTCGTACTCGGCTGGCTCTGCTTGTCGTGTGTAGGTCACTTCGCATTCCCTAAGTCACTGAAATTGCGTGCCGCATCCAAAAAGGGATTGTTTCATCAGGGAGAGAATTTATAGTTCAACGTGACAGAACTTATCCTTTTAGACTTTAGACATATTCCCTTTCATAGTTGATGTTAAAATTGAAATAATGAGCTTTTCTGAGTTTCAGGTATATGCTACTATCTCTCGCCACCTGATACACTGTCTCATGTGCTGGAGGACCCTATCCACTGCATTGTCTACATCGTGTTCATGCTTGGATCATGTGCGTTCTTCTCCAAGACATGGATCGATGTGTCTGGCTCTTCTGCGAAGGACGTAGCCAAGCAACTGAAGGAGCAGCAGATGGTAATGCGCGGTCACCGAGAGAAGTCGATGATCCACGAGCTCAACCGGTACATCCCAACGGCAGCCGCTTTTGGTGGTCTGTGCATTGGAGCCCTTTCCGTAACTGCGGACTTCATGGGAGCTATAGGAAGTGGAACTGGTATTCTTCTCGCTGTCACGATTATCTACCAATATTTCGAGATCTTTGTCAAAGAACAGCAAGAAATGGGAGGCATGGCTGCCATGTTCTTCTAAATTGTTCATATATATCTTTAATTTATTCCCTTCACGTGTTTGTTGTTGTCTATTAGATATTTGTAATAAATGTCTATGTGTCGTTCCTTCTTTCATATAGCGGCATTGTGACAGTTTGTGGTTTGCAAGTGTCGCTGTCGGATAGTGTTTTAGCGCGTTGTGACATTGTTTATAGTCTACCATGCGAATGAATGAAACTTTATGTGAATAACGATTTATTGGAGATCAACGTTGACCCGTGCTTTTATAGGCTTGCCCATTTTTACGAGAAATACAGAATTAATCGTGATTTCGTCTTCGTATTTTGTCTGAACGGCTAAACAAGCCGTAGAGGTACGGGTTGACGACCGAGTTGAACACCATGAACTCGTGAAGAAAATAAAACTGAAATAGGAAGGGTTTGGTCGGTAGTTTGAGGGAACTACGGAGAAGTTGGAAGCTTACCTTGATGAAACTGTTACTGAAAAGTTCTTTGTCGATGAGGTGAACGAGACTCAGCAAATTGTACGGTAACCAGCAAATTATGTAAGCAGCAACCAGCAAGAAGGACACACGTACTGCTCTCGATCTGGAAAATGTGGTTATATTCGAAAAGAAGGTCCGGTTCCTCTTTTCATGAGTTTTGCCAACGAATTTACCAATGTGCGATTTTTCCTTGTAACCAGCTGAGGCTCTGGGTAAGTCTTTAGGTTCGACTTTTGTGTCCCGCTATATTCTAGGAATCGAAAAATAAGCTTGACATCTCATAGACTTCGAGCTGGATGAACTTGGCTCGCGGCTCTAATTTTTAGCTCTCCATGACAGATGTGGTTGGTCAACTCCTTGAGACATTGCTCTGTTACGGCGCGATGCGCGCACTCGGTTAAGTAACGGCTATCACCTCCTATCAGCTAGAGAAGCCTCAAGTTTCTCGAAGCTGGATAGGATTGAGCCCAGCGCCAAAAATGAGTTCACATCAGGCACTGAATACCCTATTAGGACTGGTCATCCAGCCACGAAATTTTCTCAGTTTTCGGAGTGATAATTGTGGAATAGTGTCGGTTTCTATTACAGACAATTAGGTCACTACTTGATTCGAATGATCAGGTGATGAGTTGCGTAATATGCGGGCAATGGTGGGGGGGGGAGTGAGGAATCTAGGAGGCAGCGCGACTATGGCCCGTCAGACCTTGTCTATCTGCCCTTGCTTGCCAAGTCTTTTTGAACCGTTATATTTAATATGATCAGACCACCTTCGTATCAGTGAAGACGGTGCGCAGAAAAACAGTACATGTCGTTGCTATGGTCCTGCCCTCCTTGGCATCCTTCAACTATGTTATGGCCTAACAAGATTCTTAAAAATCTTGCGGAGGAATAGTGAATGCAAGGTGCAGTCCAAAGAGAGTAGCTTCCTTTTTGAAGGTCAAGAGCAAAATCGCAAGAAGAGTAGCCGTTAAGCATGGGCAACTTTGTGTTGTTTTTTCTCGAACTTCACTTTTCCGTTAGGCTTAAAGGATAAAACTTCCGGCATCAGATAAACTCTTTGGAATGTTCCGAAACTGAATTTTTACAGAATGTTACAGAGACATAAGCAGGTGATTTTGGCCTGCATAGCAACTTACGAGAACGAGCGCTCGTATGGGTCAAAGTTTTAGTTCACAGACGGGCTTGCTGGGAGTAAAGGGCTCTGGAGTGATGAGGGTTAGGGTTGGGATGGGAAGGATACGACCTATAGACCAAGATAAGGCGGAGTGTTCTGCCCCTACACCAGTCAGCTTCCAATAAGATAGTTCGGAAGTGAAGAGTTGGTACCAGTACGGCTCTTTTAATGAAAGCTTCGAGCTGTGCATTGAGTGTCTCGTGAGCGGTTCATCTTAAGATCCCTCGCTGCGGGAGTGTTGGAGATATTTGTTATTGTTCCCATCCCTCTACCCGAGCAAAATAGAGGAGAGCATTAAAAATGCACGTACCGATTCACACTGGCATGATAGGATTGGCTGTTGTGTACACTGGTCCTGATGACAGCACTGGCTTCGCTGGACGCGATTGATGGACGAGTTGTCAATGGGAGTGATGACTCGTCCGAGACAACAATCCGTGGTGGCACTGAAAATAGCTGATTGTTGAGAAAGTCCATGTGAGCACATGGAAAGAGAGAGAAAACGCTTTTACCGATGCTTTTCTCGTCTTTCCCGTCCTTCATCTTCGGAACAGAAAACGTTTTCAATGGATTCCATTCTGGAAACTCATCGTTTATTGTATTCTCCGATGGCTGTACTCTTGCTACGTATTGAGAGCATTGGTCCCGGATGGCGGCGGCGGCGCGTGGTGAGTAGACGCCGCAGCAGCACCAGTGGCTGGACCCTGTGTGCGACAAAGTTGCTCATTCTTCTAGTACTTGTACTCATGTCGCGGCATATTACGCGAATACTGGCAAAATCTAGTCTATGGACAATTCAGACCTTTAAAGACACTTTCCGCGATCACCAAGGCTAAGGGAACGATAAACCGACTAGGTGAGCTAAATGAGCTGAATACGGTAAACAGACTAATGAACACCGTGCCCCTGAGCAAGCTCTACATGGCGTATTTTCCAGGAAGAGCGGTCTCTGAGCGTCCCTGCAAGGCCCACCCACCTCCCACCAACACCGACACGCCCACAAATGACCGGGGCTGAACTGTGCTTTTTCAAATATTTTCTCGTATTTTGATATAACCTGGTAATTGCTTGAATTTTTTACATTGTTCGTTAATCAGCGATGATCTATCTAACGCGTAAGCTCGTCCACTTCTTAATTGAAACCGATTCATAAGGGCCTTAATTTCGAAGGCGTTTCAGAACCGATTTTTGTCTCGTTTTTTGCATTATGCTGTGCGCGGATATATTGTGCCTCCCAGTTCCATTTACTAGCAAGGAACAATGAATATATCTTGCCTTTGAAGATGTACGGCGGGGGGGGCGGGCAAAAAAAGGACATTCAGTTTCGAGTCACATTATCATAAAGTTTTCGCAGACCCAGATAGAAGAGTGGATAACGAGTACTAGGGCGGGGAGATACCAAAGATGTGTCCATTGATAAGCAGGAGCGGCACGTGGAGCCAGTCTCCCATGCAACCGGACTGGAGAAAGCCTTCGGAATTCACGTCACCTCCAAACAGCTGCGAAACTTCTTGCATGGAGCCACCCATGGAGAGTTACCTGGAGACGGCCACTCTATGATCTGAGAACCATCCAACAATCGAGCAGGTTCGAACAACGTCGGCCTAACGGTCCAGGATATTCGTCTTTCACCGCATGTCGCCAAGGCGACGGGTTGATGAGTATGGACCGGGAAGTTGCTGGAATGGAGACCGATTTTATCTACTGCGACCCGGAAACGTGAGTAGCGTTACATCAGAGCCAACTCGAGGAAAATATTCCCCTTCATTCCGTCGCCGTAACCATTTTCGGCAACTCATGTACTAGCCTTACACAGGATTGGTGCCACCAACATGGAATCGAGGAGCGTTGGAAAAACTTTTGCCCCTAACTTGGGTAATAGAAGACGAATGAGTTTGGAGAGGACGCGAATATCTCAGTGTGTCACCTGACCCAAACCCCCTCGATTACCGGGTTTGGGCGGAGCTCAACAGGATGTTCTACAGTGGCAGAGAAATCAACGACCTCGCTGAACTCAGGCACCGAATCACGCGTTCGCAGTGACAAAAGTAGATAGATGTACTAATGTTGCTGTTGTATAATGGCCGGTGGAAATGTTCTCCAGTTAATCTGATAACAGGCCTCGGCCTGTGTAGATCGTTGCTTGCAGGCTCGAAAGCGAGCGGAAAATGTCTTTTCTTGGCCACCACTGACTAGAAGGGTCAAATGCGCGTGAATAGTTGCTCGAGTGACTCCTCCCGTGAATATAGTTGATAACGATGCAGTCAGAAGGGGCGCGGTGAGTCCGCCTCTGGCTCCCTCTACTACCAGTGGTGAACGGTCACTGATCGATTTAGGAAGAAAACAGCCAGTGGTAAAAAGCCGCGGGTGGACTTATCAATGCTGCCGATGCCACACCGACTGATTGCGACAATGTCAACTAGCCGTCGTATCTGTCGTTCTGCTCATTTGCATGCTGTCTCGCTGCTCATGTCTGGTACCTCTCATGAGATCCCCATTGATTCTGTGCCTCTCGCTGAGGACAAGCAGGGCCATATTTGAGGCGTTTTCCACTAATTCCACCGTCCTTTTTTCACGGCTTGCTTCAATAGCACATACACTCCTCTTTCTCAACCCCGTTAATTACAAAATTGCGACGGCATTTCTCGAAATCTTTCTCCGAAACGCATCAACATTTTGCTCGCTTGCTTGTCCGGATTGCATCCTGTGAATAATGAGACCTCGCATTACCTCAGTTTTTACAAATGATGAATTACTCACCGATCAGCCATTAATTCCCCAAACATGCAAATGCTTTTATCGACGGACTTATTGTAGGAACACCAACGAAAGCTTAGTCTGCCCTATATCGGTTTGAACTCCAGCTTTTCGCTGCGCGGAATTTTAACAAAATTCAAATAATCACCTCATCGAAAGTTGTCGCAATACCTACCAGCAGAAATGTAGTACTCTAACTAGGCATCAATTGGCCAGATTTTATCTTCGTTTTCGGAGAATAGGCGTCTGCGGGCTAGCTGGGCAACGTCCGTAAGGGCTGCGAGCTGCATACACCAATGGTAGGAAGGGGCGTGGCTGTGAGCGCGGTAATGGCTGCAGGGTCCAGACGGGAGAAAGGCAGAGACGTACGCACAAGATAGGAGACCCGGGATGGGGATGCACCGCTGTCGCCGGGACGCCCCTTTTTTCTCCGACATGAAGTGTTCTTATGTGGCTCCAGCTTATCAAGGGATCCAAGCGTCGATGACGACGCAGGCTTCATCGGACCTTGCGTCTACTACCGTCGTTACAAGGAAGCCCATCCATTCCTAATTATTGTATACTCAAAGATGCAGTGGCTATGTATTTCGTACAATAGCTCTATTGGGAAGTGCGGTTTTTTGGGCTTTCCACGTTCTGGCTTTGACCCGACTGGGTACCTAGTAGCCATATAGACCTTCAGAGGCACATCACGGGTTTT